TATGTTTGTACAGTGCCTACCTTAAGGGGGTCCCAATTGTGTTTGGGGTCGTTCGACACTTCTGGAATAACAATAAATAATACTTCCACCAACATCATGTAATCATATAGCTGCCAAATGTATATTCGGCTCAGTATCTAAAGATTTAGAATGGCAAAGAAGTTTCTGGATACTTTCTCAAGGAGCAGAAGTAGTTACATTTTTCACTGGAGTTCATCAAAGTGGACTAGATGTGTCCTTGGTAAAACTCCATTAAAGTGAATGGAAACATTCCTGATTATTGAGCTGAAGCTGGACCATGGATCATGACCCTGAGCATGGGTATCTGAATTAGGCTCATTAACAGGACTAAATCCCATGCCATAGCAGAATGGAGAAAACAAGAACAATGAAGGAAACAACTGTGGGGAAGCAAAAGTCTTGTATTACTGCTTCTTAGACCTCTCTACCCTTGACATATGTCCTTCTGTGTGCTAGATACTCATTTGACGTTGATAGGACTTCTTAGCATTCAATGGTGGTGTCCAGTCTGGGTGCATTATGCTCCACGTGGGCTGGAGCAGAGGGGAAGTCGCCCAACCAGCTGGAGCTGGGATGTTTCAGCCCTCCAGATGCTGCCTAGAAGATTCCACCACGCAGCCACAACTACTCACCTCTGGTGCTGCTCGGCAAATGAAGAGTTCTGATGTAAAATTTGTTGTGCACAGATGCACATTTCAGAAGGAGCTCAAGATTGACTAATGGAGCCCCTGCGACCGACCAGTAAATCGCTATCTACCTGTTGGTGGCCACGGATCTAGGAATGTGAAGTTTAAATTAATCAACTAATCAAATAGTCAATGGAATTTGCATCCACTATCTGATTAGTCAATATAGGTGCCTCTGCCTTTGAAACATACAAAGAGTCCTGTACATTGTGGGGCTTTTGCACATTTCAAAAGGAAAGAATGCAGGGAGCAGGGGGCCAGCAAGGCACTCACGCAGGGTCGCAGCAGGGTACTGGTGGTACTTCTGCCTCAAATGTAGCCAGAGCGGGGCTCTTGTACATTTCAAAAGCAGGAAGCAAAGGGCCAGCAGGGGACTGCTTGAGTCCCCCACCTGCCCTGTACTCTCCACAGCACTTCCACCTTTGAAATGTAGCAAGAGCCCTGCTCTTTCTATATTTCAATAGCAGAAGTGCCACCAGTTTCCCACTGCACCCCTGTCCAACCCCACGGAGATATTGCTGGGGGAGCCGGCTCCTGGTCCCCCTCCCTTGCTGCCTCTCTCTGATAGAAGTAAGAGAGGGAAGTGACTAGTCGCTTACATCCCTAGACCCATCCACAAATGCATACAAGTCTGCCCACTCCTTCTGAAAATGTCAGTACTCGTCATCTTTCTTTCTCTTTGCCACTTTTACTGTTGGGGCTACAGAGTTCACCATCACGTGTAGTGATGGAAAGATTTTTTGACCAATTAAAGAGAATATGCATGACCCCCAATGAGTGAAGAGGATGGGGGGTTGTTAAAATGAACAGTTATAGATTAAATAGACAAAAAAATACATCTTGACATGAGTAATTACACGTTTTTAAAATTTTGAATTCATTTTTTATTTTAATTTAAAAAGTTGTATGTATTTTGGGAATGATTAAAGAGCCATATTTGGTCCGCACTTAGCCATATTTGGCTCTAGAGCCATAGGTTGCAGACCCCTGTGCTATCACAACTAGAGACTGACTTTCTCTTTGAGTTTCTCAGTGTATGAGACAAGATGGAGATCCCAGTTGCAAGAGTAAGATGTACACAAGCAGCTGTAAGGTGAGATTCCAAAAATGTAAAGAGAAATGAGACTTTAGAGAAAACAGGAATCCCAATTACTAAAAATGTCGTGAGCAATAATTCTTTTGGAATCTCCACTATAAGATGCACTACAATGGGAGTTATGGGGAAGTCCTAGCAGATTCTATAGGATCCAATGAATTTCATCTGAAGTTTCTGCAGCTTAAGAAAAGCAAGGAGTAAACAAATGTGCTGAATATCACTCTTAGCCTGGTGGTTAGGGATATTAGGCTAAAATTGAATGAATTATGACAAATGTCTTCTAATCAGAATTTTTTAAATAATTATTTTTCACACTTTATAAATATTGGAGTTACCCAAGAAACAGACCTGATAGTCAGCAAAAACTAAGAAAGAGAGATGAAAATTGATGTAGTAACAAAGCTAAAAATCAAGATTCAAGTGGCAAACGAGTCAGACACTCTGAAAATCCTCTTGCTCCAATCTAGAGATCCTTGTTTATTTAAGAAACATTGTATATATGAAGTCCAGAATTGAGACAGAATATACTTCAATCATTGATATTTTCAGTTATCTGGAACCGAAGTCAGAGGACACTATTTAACCCCAGATCAGGCTTTCTTTACTACTGAATACATAGCAGGTTTGGTTTTCCATTTAGCTACTGATTTTTTGAGAGGTGATCTTGCAATAGCTTGAGAGAGAGTCTGGACTTGCACTCAAATTGTCAGACTATCAGAAAGAGAAGTAGGACAGAATTTCGGAAGTCATTCTACCATGTCAGAAGAAAAGGTATCTTATAGCATCTAAAGATGTACACATCATCATCTCTTTCTTGTACTGAAGGAAATTACTTACATTTTCATCTATAAAGCAAGAGTGATGAGCAAGTATTTAGTTCCACAGAGAACATATTTTAGACCTTTTGGAAGACATGCAAATTTCCTATGCATGAAAAATCTAAGCAGTTTTAACTAATTATTTAGAAAGACCTAGGAAAATGTAGACTATGCGAGACCACAAAAAACTACACATAGATCTCAAAATTTCTTTCAATCAAAGAAACTACTCACTAAGTAAAAAAGAAACACCTAGTTAGGTTAATAAACTCAACACATTAATGTTAGCATTTACTTACTTTATTTTTCAGAAGAAATTTGTTCCTGCAGATCAGAATCTCACGCAACCATTTGAGGATTTCTGTGCTACTGAGCATCTGATGACCAGTTAGTTTCTTGCAGATACAGAAAAGCATTTGTGAACTGCAACAAAATGAAATTCAGTATTAGCTATATTGCTCAATAGAGATGATACCCATTTATCATTACATGAGGAAATTAGTAGGAATATCATCTATGACATAGTTGTCCAACTTTAAAACAGCGTCTATCTAACACAGAAAGAAGAATGTTTGTAAGTTTGTGTGCTAATAACTTGGACACTATAGGAGCTACTGCAACCAAACTTTGCATGGGATAACCTTTCATACAGGAGAAGTTTTTAAGGTACTTTTGGACCTGAATGGGCCCAAGCTCAAGCTGTAAAAATCAAAAAGTAATCCACTGCGCTGTGCTTCAGGGGCTGCCCAGCCCACCCTAGGTCCCGTGACTGCTGCCTGCGGCTCCCAGCACCATCCAGGACTCACCCCCTCCCACCCACAAGGTTACATAAGCAATCTTCTTTCCCCCCCTCCCCATACCAGCACGCAGTGCACCAACCCCCATGTGCACAATGGCTCGGGCACCCACCCTGCCACCTGCAGGCACCTGAAGCCCTGAGCGTGAGCCGGGGCGCCCCTCCCACGTATAATTTCCCCTCCACCCGGGATCACACACCTCACCCCTCCAGGGATGATGCGGACCTACATTTTAATCCCTATAGAAATAAGGGCAACTTTTCTACCACTGAAAAAAAGATAATGGACTACAGTTCTTCTACATTTTGTTCCTCTGGTTTCCCGAGCAACACCAGGTAACTCCAGCTAGTTTTAAATAAACTGAAACCTCTGTCCCTTTCCACTTCCCAACAGGCCATTTCTTTATTCCCTAGAGGAAATTAAGTGATTTTGGTACTTTTCAGAAGACCTCTGTTTATCACAGAACTGATCCAGCACAGACACTGGCAGTACAAGTTTACCCATGTTGCCCTGATATGCCCCAGCTCTGTTAGGAAGGAACACATCTAGGAGCATTCCTTCAAATCCTTTCAGGACGCCGTTAAAATGGTCAGAGTTCAAATCAGTGTCAGTTTTTATGGCTTTTTTTTTTTTGCCCCTAGCATGACAAACTTTTTATAGCTGTGAGTTCCTTTTACCACTAACCCATGCAGGACAAACAAAAAATTTAAAGGTGAAAGCCTATCCCATTACCAATCCCTTGACTCTCATAATAAAGATTAATCTCTTGATGTGGAGAGAGGTGTTTTCTAAAAACAGAAACTAACTTCCTTTCTACTACAAAAAAACGTGTGTACTGATACACATCCTATGACAAAATATGAAATATTTTAGTTTATTTTCATGATTCACAATTTCAGGTTCATGCAGGGTCACCTTTAATGCCCATTTTTTCCTTTTTTGAGTGTGCTGAAATAGCTTCCCCCCTCTATCAATTGCTACATTAAAATTATAAGAAACTTGAATTTTATTTTAACCAATGAAAATTCTTTATTAAAAAAACCTTTAGGACAAATCAGTTGACCCACACAACAGTGAAATGAACTACCACATAAGGCTAGCTTTAGTTTCAGAAATAATATTAAGTCATTCATAAAGGTGGGTTTGCCAGATTTATCCTGCCTTATCCATTTACAAAAGCTAATTTACCTACCTAATTTCCCAAAATGTTTCTATGGGTGCATCTGGATTCCATAAATCAATGCTCTCTAACTGATGAAGAACTAGCAAGGCCTGAATTCAAAAGAGAATAGTTTTTCATTTAAGAGAAAATAATGTGCATAGTAATACAGCATATACAGCAAGGTATGAACCCAAATATTATTATATTAATGTTTAAAATAGTAAATCTAATGGAAAACGTGTAAATTTTAATAGAAAATCAAAAGTTCAAAATTAAGTCATCAGTCATAATAATCTTAGCTTTTCTTAAGTATTTACAATTATGTATTATTTGCATGTAAATCCACAAAATTAACCAAGGACATGTCAAGTCTTTTAAAAAAGGGAAATTTTGACTTAGAAATTACTTCAATGACCCATCTGGAAAAATGTAATGATACAGGTACAGGAATCCTGCTAGTATAAAATTAGAATAGCAACTACAGAACATCTGTAATTTAAGAATTCTCTGTTAAGAGAGAAGAGACACAATTTCTTTACATTCTTTCAACTAGCAAAAAGTTAATTAAAATAACTCTTATGAGTTATGACCAGAACTGAGAAAGTATTATCAAGTGTATTCCAAAAGTATTCATTTTCCTTTTTAAAATTTTGATCATGGTAACAATCTTTGGGGTTTGTTTTCTTCAATTATTCCAGTGGACAAAGAGATACTTTGGTTTACTCCATATCCAAGACTGTCCCAGCCTAAACTAAATAACATAACTAATGGAAAATCATATCCTGCATCAGTTACAATACTGTAAATCAGGCCAGGGCAAAAACACCCTCTGCAGGCCGACACAGCAGGGAACCTCAGGCAGACTCCCTTGCTTGCCGCACACCACTCAGAAAAGTGACTGCTGAGCCATTTGTTTTTCACAAACTGAGCGGAGGGAATGGTGCTTCACAAGCTGCTCCTGCCCCTAGCATAATCCCATTGGCCAGTTTCTTGCCAATGGGAGTTGCCTGTTTCAAGAACAGGCAGTGCACAAAGCACCAATCCCCACTTCCCTCAGGGTCTTATTCACAGTGCATGTGGCCCTTCAGCCTATGCAGGGGTGGGGCAGGATCCTGAGAAACATACTGGGTTGCTGGCTGGGAGTCTCACTGGTAAGTCTCCCAGCCAGAGCCGGCCTCTGGCACCTGACCCTGTACCCCAATACTCTGCCTCAGATCACAACCCTTTCCTGCCCTTGGTCACAACCCAAACCCCTGCACCCTAGTCCCAACCTAGGTCACCACCTCCTCCCGTCCTAGATCACAACCCAAACCCCTGCACCTCAATCCCATGCCCCATATCACAATCCCCTCCTGCCCTAGGTCACAACCCAAATCCCTGTACTGTAATCCCCTCCCTTCTGAAGGAAAAGTGCAGCCCCTCGACCACTTAAAAAAATTCTTGGAGTGGCCCTCATAAAAAATTACTGCCCACCCCTGCTGTACATTAATAGCATGAGTTTGGTGGAGTTTGCCATCATATTTAAAATTGTCTTAAACATTTTCAGGACAATCAGGGTACTCTTATTTAAAAAAAGACACTACTGTATTCTGAACCAAAACAACATATGCAGAATATTTAAACTATAATATATGGGGTGATTATCATTGATGGAAATGTAGCAAATGCAAACATGCAATTTAGCTACAGGTTGAACCTCTGAAAACAGTACTCTCTGTTCCAGCAATATCCATGGTACGGCAGGACCACAAATGCTCCTGGACCAGAGAGCCAAGGAGCCTAGTGGCAGGAGGGCTAGCAGCTCAGCTGGGGGCAGCAGGGCTGGAGCCCCACAAAAGTGTTGGGGTTAGGCTGAAGAACCCCAGAAGCCTGCTGCAGCGCAAGGCCAGAGAAAGTAGTAGTTTGGCTGCCTGCAGCAGTGCAGAATCAGGGAAATCTGGCCACCTGCAGCAAGATGGGGCCAGGGAATTGCAGCAATGCGGCACCGGGGCTGGGGAACCCCAGATGCCCATGGAAGCCCAGGGCCGGGTGGGGAGGAGCCAATGGCATCAGGGCGGATAGCTTGGCTGGAGAGATAGGGGGACCAGAGGCAGGGGCCAGCTAGTTCAGTGCCAGCATCAGGGGATACCTCCCCTGGTCCAGAAAATTCTCTCATTTAGGACTGGTCAGGTCCGGACCTTGCCTGACCAGGGAGGTACAATCTGTACAAAGGTTCAGTTTAGGAATGTGTACACAGTGAACCGATGAGCCTGGGAGCATTGATTAACCCTCACAGTTACACAGAGGTAGCAGTGCCGGAGGGTGGGGGAATAGATGGGAGCAAGTACAAGCAGGTACAGTCCCCTGCTGCCTCTGATACAGAGGCAGTAGCATGAGGCAAGGAAGGGCAGGCGAAAGTGGGTACATGCAGGAAGTGGATTTAAAAGCCAACACCCAGCAAGCACCGAATCTGTCCCCCGAGTATAAACTTGTAACCGCCAACAATTTCAGTGGTTACATATGTACAAAAATAAATGCATTTTAACATCCTTAATTCACTTTAGCAGTAAAAACACCACCACCTGTGGAGTGCTTTAGATATCCTTTCCTTCAATATTTGAAAGTTTTCCCTCTAGAAGTTTGGAAGATTGAAATCTTAGTGCACCTGGTGGCATATAAGAGCCTCAAATCATAGTAATACAGGATAATTAAATAGGTACAGAGAATCTTTCCTTCTCATCCACCAAAAGAAACTGACATCTCTATTTTCAGTATATTTTAAAACCATTATACTTGTCTACCACAGGGAAAACACATGAATGTATCATACTGAATAGGCAACTTATTCCTTCCATTAGCAGTATGTCATGGAAGGCTTGGATAGCAGAAGTAATTTTGGTGTTTTGCCTGCTGGACTACTCAAGCTCATTTACCTTAAGTGTGAAACACTTAAATTACAGAGCAAGCAGGATGAGAATTTTAACAGCCTTAGAAGTACTTGCCACCAATATGCCCCCTCCTCACTCACTGATTCAGAAACAACAATCATTGGCTTGGTCCCAGATGTAAAATGAATATTTATCTCAACCAGTCAGGAAGAACTGGAGCGGACAGGCAGGCTGTTAGTGGAGGGTATTTTAACAGTGCTCTCTACAATGTAGTGGGAGACCCATAAAACCCCTTCCGAAATTGATTTTGCTTAAGGCCAACTTCTTAGTGAAATGGGAAGAGCACAGAAGACAATAATACTCTATTACACATTTGAAATCTTTCCTTCAAATAAGTCTCTGCTGTAAAACTTGCAACAGAACACACTTTTAGAAAAAAGCATCAATAGAGCACAAACACTAAGGGCTCATCTACACACCAAGTTACTGAGCTGCAAGCTAAGTTATGAAACAACAGCATACTACCAGCATGCACTGCCAAAATGACACATGAAGCCATGGCTACAGTGCATTTGAAGTCCCTGACTGCAGCTTAGCTTCAAAGCATATTTTAGGCAGCACTCAAGGACTTGGATTCTGCTGTACCAAAGTCCACAAAGCCATGTTGCTAGCTGGCGTGCTGCACATTCACACCTTCGCTTGCAGCGCAGTAACATGCAATATAGACAAGCTCTAACACTCAACTTTGAAAATGAGCCGATCAGTTCTTGAAAGCTTTTCCACAAAAAGCCTGATATGCTTGGCACAGTTCACAAGCTCATCACCCTGTGTGCAGAAGAACAATTCCCTTACCTCCATGGCTTCTTGTGCTATTTCTGGCATGTTGGACTGTGGAACAAGTTGTACAAGTCCTGTAATTAATTCAGCAGTACTACTCTGTGTCTCAGGCCCTTGCTTCCTGGGATTCTACACAGCAAAGGGAAAAAACAGTTTAAAAAGCAACACTATTCTGAAATGGTCCATGCTTTATCTCCTGTTAAAATGCAGATCCTTCAACACGCTGGTCAACAGCATTCACAGAATTAAACTAACAGCAGACAGACTTCAGGTGACTACTTTCACAGATACTCATATAAGCAAAGAGGGGTTGGGTGTTGATTTTCTTTTTTGATAAATTAATTTTAGATAATCTTAGTTTGGAAGGGATAATCTAGAAAAAAATGAACTCAAGAACAAACAAAACAGACAAAAGAAAATTTCACAATTCCCACTATAAGATTCAGACTAATAAAATCATCATTTTATTACCTGGCGATATTGTATATCCAGTGTTATTTTCAAAATTTACATTTATCTTAACTGCAAACAATTTCTAATGCCTGAGTTAGAACTTATCTCCATACAATGATTTGCAGAATCCCAGAAAAATTATTTGATAGGAACCTTACGGAACACCCAACAAAAATAAGCATAAGAATGATCTTGAGGTTAGGTGGTTGTCTGTAGGAGACTATGGGTCTGTCTCCCAGAGGCTCTTTGAGTATGGTATCCTGTTCCAATATAGGCTGTAGTTTCTTGATAATGTGTTGGACAGGTTTAAGTTGGGGGTTGTAGGTGATGACAAGTGGTGTTCTATTGTTGGTTTTCTTGGGTCTGTCTTGAAGTAGATGGTTTCTTGGTATTCGTCTGGCTCTTTCAATTTGCTTTTTTGTTTCTCTGGGTGGGTAGTTGAGATTTATAAATGCTTGGTAGAGATCCTGAAGCTTCTGGTCTCTGTCAGTGGGGTTAGAGCAGATGCGGTTGTATCGAAGGGCTTGGCTATAGACGATGGATCGTGTGGTGTGTTCTGGATGGGAGCTGGATGCATGTAGGTATCTCTTTTACAGGTCTCCCTTGTGATTCTTGGGTGACTTTCCCTTAGTCTTTGCACAGTCTATTCTTTGTAACGTTGATCGTGTATTTACATGTTGGGTTTTAATTAATTTCTCTCCGGGTGTGTGTGTGTGTTTGTGTGTTGGGGGGCAGAGGGGGGTGTTGGCTTTTTTGCTCAAAATTTTTATCCTAATTTATTTTTCCTGATATTTTCTTCCCCGGTTAATTCATTTCCTCTTTATTCTTGTTTACTGGGATTAACACTCACTTTAATCTACCAAAGAACTTCATGTATTGCAGTTTTGCTATCCTGATGTCTCATTCTCATCACAATGATCACTAACTAGGATGACTGGAATCTGTTCTAGTGCATGCTCACCACAAAAGAAATGCAGTGGGATGGGTCTGATGGACATCAGGAAAGCTGCCTTCACAAACTCTCCTGATTGGGTGAAAGGGGGAGAGAGAAAAGTCATATCCTAAAGCAAAGTATTCTGGGGTTTGGATTTTTTTACCCAATTTTATTATTTTATTTTGGGTATTTATAATTTAGTGACTTAATTTCCTGGGTTATTTACATTATGACTTCAAATTTAATAAGCTAAAAGGGTTTTTCAATATTTCTTTTAACACCAAGATTTCACTAACTTGAAAGTAACATTTACTTACATACAGCAAGAGCTTTGGATCAGCATGTAACAGTTTTACCATGGATAACAGCAAAAACTTATAACTTCTGGTTTCCAAGTCTGTAGGTTTTTCTTTAAATTTAAGGCTTGTCATTTTCTCTTTAAATGTAAGACTCTAAGGAAAAAATATTATATCATTTGTCAATGAAATATTACATATAGTGAGTCGATAATGTAACATTTTTAAAAGCTGCTTATTTTTATAATCAATAATGCATGAAAGGGAACAGGTATCGTATAGTTAATGACTGAATATTCAATTCAGTAAAGTATAAATATCATTTTTTGTACTTTAACCTTTTACATATTCACATTAGTATACAGCTTGTTTTAAAGTATGTTTCATTTTTATTAAAATTATATATAAGCAAAAAATTTCATTTGTCAATAAGTTGCCCACAAAAGATTATATGAAAGTGGGGAAAAACCTATGAAAAAGTTATTCCAAAATTAAGAAAATCAGATATACCTCCTGATAAGAAATTGTAGTGAGTAGGGCTCTTTATCCCTCAAACAACAAGAAAAATCAAAATGCTTATGCTGGAACAGCAACTGATCATTTAACAACTTGGTGTTTTTAAATATGGTTAGGTTTTCAAAACAGAATTAGTTTAAATCACAGTAATGTTTTGTGCTGTTTTTCGATATTAAATGACAATACTTTCAAGCAAGAATTCACATTTTAATCAGCAGCTGTGTTACTATTTTAATTCAGCGGCTCTCTGAAAAACATGTCTTGCAGTTTTCACAAGGAGAAGAATCATTAGTAAAATACATACGTCTGGTCTACACTGCACAGTTAGAGCAACTACAACAGCATCCATATATTGACCTAATTATTTCAGTGTCCACTCTACTGCTTTTTCTTGCCAATGTAAGTGTCCTGCTTCATCAATAAAAGTCCACCTCCATGAGAGCCTGAGACTAGTGTATTTAGGGCAACACAGTGTCTATGTAGACACCCAATTCCTTACATCTGCTATTGACTGTTTTGTCAATGTCATGGCTCTGCTAGAAGTGGACCCGTGAAATGGACAAGGAAGCAAACTCCAGGCTCTCCAACCCAGCTGCTGCCAATTCTCTGCTTCAAGGTAGGCTGCCAGCCAGGCTCCCATCTCTCTGCTGGGAGCCCAAATGCTCACTCCCTTTGGTTCTGGTTCTACATTTCCAGCTGGGAGCCCAGCTGTAGTGCAGCTCTCAATTGGGAGCTCGAATGCTTCCCCCACTGTCAGTCTGCCATCAAAAGCATGACAACCAACTTGAATCTAGGTACATATCTTCCTACCAGAAGTGAGAAGTCTGGGGGGCAAATGGGCTCTAAGCCAAAGGCTCTGCCTCAGTCCCCCCATACTGCCTTTTTCAGCCAGTGGAAGTGCTCTGGTGAGAGGTACTCCACTGATGGAAGGAAAGCATTATGGACATCAGCCACCACAATAATTACTGCAATGGCTGCAAGTCAATCTAACATAGGTTGACTTACGTTTTTGGCATAGACATTCCCGTAAAATATTCAAACAGGCTAAAATGAGAGAAAGTTAGCTTCATTTGAAGAGTAATGGTGAAACACTACTTATACAAATATTCAACATCCTCATCTGCTAGGGAGGGGATTCCAACGCCTTTATTCATTCAAGCTTACCAGTGGAATGTTTTTGCAATTTAGATATGGAAGACTCTCACCTAGTTTAGATATTTTACCACCTTTTTCACAGTAAGCATGACAGGCTGTCTTGAGATATGGCCTGTACACGTTCACACAAATGGATATACATAGTTATTAAAAGATTACTATAATTATGTAAAGTGACATTACTGGACAGAGGAAGCTCTTGATATCTATTTGAGATCTGCAAAGGAATTTCTTCAGGAAAACTGCTAATAAAAATGTTGTTCAGTGTCCTTGATCAAAGGAGGGAATTACCCTCCACATCTGACAAACAGAGGGGACATGTAACTGTTTTCAAGTACAGGCAGTCCCCGGGTTACATGGATCCGACTTACATCGGATCCCTACTTACAAACGGGTTGAGGCAACCCCGCACTAGCTGCTTCCCCCCAGCAGACCAGGGAGACGCGAGCTTGAGAATAAAGGCCTGAGGGAAGTGAGGTGTGGGAGAATAAAACTGAGCTCTGGAGAAATGTTTGGCTAGAGTTTCCCCTACAATATGTACCAGTTCCGACTTACATACAAATTCAACTTAAGAACAAACCTACAGTCCCTATCTTGTACGTAACCCGGGGACTGCCTGTACATAAATATTGTTATGATGAGGGAGAATTTTTTTTTCTTTTTAACCTCTGAGGATGGGACAAGAAGCAATGGGCTTAAGTTGCAGCAAAGGAGGTTTAGGTTGGACATTAGGAAAAATTTCCTGTTAGGATGGTAAAGCACTGGAATAAATTGCCTACAGAGGTTGTGAAATCTCCCTCCATTCACTGGAGATTTTTAAGAGCAGGTTAGACAAACACTTGTCAGGAATGGGTCTCTAGATTATACTTAGTCCTCCCATGAGTGCAAAGAACTGGACAAGATGACCTCTCAAGGCTTCTTCCAGTCCTATGATTCCAATAAATATCTGGACATGGCTAATTATGAGTGCTTAAAAGTTATTCTGTCTTACAAAGTCATGCCCTCATCATGCAAAACATACAAATATGTGTAATTCTAAACATATGAATGGTTCCCACTGCATACTGGCTGTGTTTTTTCAATCTCATTAAAAACAATATTTTGATTAAACTATCAACTATTTGGGACACTTTCTTTTTGTTCTGTGCTTGTACAATTCCTAGCATAATGAAATGCTTAAGTTTCCAGGTGCTACCACAATGCTATTTTTCATCCTATATAATCTGTAATTAACATCTAATTTTGCTCACTTTTCAAAAGAAAATAGTAATGTACCATTTATTTTATTGAGGTTTATATGTTTGAGGGACTCAACAGTACTTAACACAGTAGTCTTTTAAAACTTAAATGAATTTATTACTGGGAAGATACCCTTCAAGCAGTAGCACAGAAGTTGTAGACTTTTTATTTTAACTTTTCAATCCACAAATTTATATCTTGGAACAAGTAATCTCAAAGATTACAAGCCTATTCTTGAATTCTTTTCAAGCATGCTACCATGTAATTACAAATTTGAGACTTTATAATCCAAAACAATTTTGCTAAAAAAATTCAATTCCACTCCAAAAGATGCACAATAAAATCTCATATTTAAAGCACTTGACAAAGAAAGTGACAACTGTACTTCCAGAGAAAACCGTTAGTGTATATAATCAGTTTGTCACAATTAAGGGAACTCTGAAAAGAAAAGCATGGCAGAAAGGAAGCTGTTTGATTTATCTGATCTGTGAAATGATTTATTTACTTCATACAACCAATAAGTGAAGACATGCTACATTTTCCATTTGAAATGAAGTGATGTGACTACAATGGTAACTATACACAGAAAAGTCAAAGAAACGGAAGGCTTTTCTGTGGTAGTTACAATGGGTCATACTTACAGCAACAGAGGCCCACTGCCATGCAAAACAGTGACTGGTTGGCATCTGATCATGTGAGCGACAGCAGCCAATAAGAACAGAAAATAAGAAGCAGAAGACAAAGCACCACCAATCAATGTCAGAGTTGCCAAGTACAATACCCTTGCTATTTTCTCAACAGAAAATACACACATAAAAACTGAGTTAAACAATTCTACAACATTCAACTAAATCTTCCCAACTATTTTCTTTTAAACAAAATACTGAATTAGGTAGTAATATTTCATCTCCATGTATAGTTTTAGGCCTTCTGCTACAGTAAATATCTGGGACACTGAAAACTACATCTTTGCAATTCAGAAGAGAGACACGTTAACTATAGAAAGTCCTACATTCAAAGTTCAAAATGAGCAAAACTACTTCGAGACATTTTGATATCATAGAACAGACTGATCTTTATAAAAATCTTCAGTAAATTACAGATGAACAAAGCAGTTTTCATGTCATAATGCTTGCAAATCCTTATAATTTCTGTGCTGTTACTAAGACCAAACAACCAACATGCTTAAGACAGAGTAAACCAAGCAAAAAGCAGTTCAAATAAAAAACTTCCACTCATCAATGTATAAATGCAGCAGTTATTGAAATTTAGTCTACTACATGTAGCAAAGGGTAGATTTATTCTGATTATGAAAAAAGGCCAAGTATTAATTGCCTTCACTAAATAGACCTATATGCAGCAAGGCACCTTAAAAGAACAGTTAGACGGTATTACAGAAAGATTATTGCTATCTTGTCAGTCTGATAGCATAAAAACTAAGTAACAAGATCACTAACTCAAGAGGAATACATAATTAATATACAGAATACTGCAAAGTTTACAGAGCATGTAAGGCTCTCTGTTGCTTCAGGAATTGCTACATTTTTAAATTATCTTCCAGACTAACATTGATGAATGAATGGAATGGAGACAGAAAATGCAATGAACAAAAGCTGTTAAATCATGGACCCAAGTCTTACCGGTGTCATACGAATTGGTGGATGCGCCCCACAGCCCTGCACAACTTTATGAAGTGTTTCACTAAACATGCTGCGGAGTTCCACAGAGTGACAGTACACAGCATCTATCTTGGGCCACCAGTCCACTGCAGACTAGGAAGAAAATAGAGCGATGCTTTAAAAGTACAAAGTGGACATGTGATTCTATTTCCTAAAATATATTTTTTGAAGTTTTAATAGCCACACTTTTCCACACAGTAAATAAAAAGCGAGGTGATGGACTTGGGGAAAAAGAGGGAAGCGTATTAAATTCTGAAGAACATGAATGTTTTGAATAAACTTGAATAAAGTTGTGTCATTTCTCCTCTCCAGTGCTATAATTCGTAATACTTGCATAGATTATATTTCACATCATACTCCTGTTTAGTTGTTTATTTTAGTTTCCACTTTTATGATTGGCCACTAAATCTGAAAACAGTAGCTATAAAGGAAATTGACAGTGATTGAGTTCAGGCTAAAAGAAATTATGTATGACTAAGTACATGCTCAGTTCACTAGAAACCTAAAATGTTTCTCTGTATATATAAAAAAGTTTTTCTTGTGGGACAACAGTGACATCATCACATCACTCTGTGTCCGCCTAACTCCTCCTTCCCCATTCCCTTTCCCCAGTCCTTGGCTGCACCTCCTTCCTCCCCATTCCCTGGTGCCTGGGGCAGAGTGCAGGGCCTGGCAAGGCACTGGAGTGATTGTGTGAAAGCTGCACAGTGCCGAGAGCCATGCGGCCTCTTCCATCCCCAGTGCTCGGAGTGGGGGGGAAGCTGTGAGCTCTGTGTCCGCCTAACTCCTCCTTCCCCATTCCCTTTCCCCAGTCCTTGGCTGCACCTCCTTCCTCCCCATTCCCTGGTGCCTGGGGCAGAGTGCAGGGCCTGGCAAGGCACTGGAGTGATTGTGTGAAAGCTGCACAGTGCCGAGAGCCATGCGGCCTCTTCCATCCCCAGTGCTCGGAGTGGGGGGGAAGCTGTGAG